CATCGAGGACCCATTGAAAATGCTATAAAAAAAAGCAAAGGACATACCTCGTGCTCAAACACTGACTTACAAACCACGTCAACGATCGACCAGAGTGCCACTGGTCACAACCTATCACCCTAGGTTACCACCACTAAGGGCTATAATTCAGAAACATATGCCAAATTAAGGGGATCCCCATAACTTAACATTTCTCCCTTAATTTAACATTTCTTTGTAATCCCCTTAATTTAACATTTCTTTGTAATCCCCTTAATTTAACATTTCTTCGTAATAAATGAAGCGAATCCATGCGTATTTTAATAATGAACTTTACATATAACCTAATATATACAACTTTATATATAAATTTACATATAGCTTAATTTTAAAATGTATCTTGTATTATGATATGCAAAAATGTCCACAAAAAGTTATTTGAACAAAAAACTGCAAACTGTATTGTCACGTGACTGTGAAAAGTGTCAGGTGATCGGTGGCAGGTGACAGCTTTGTTGAATGTGGGTTTGTGATTTTTTTTTAGACAGACAACAAACGAAACTGCAAGTACTTTGCTGTTAATCTTCTTGTCAAAATTACTTCACTTTGGAAACCAAAGATGTCAAAGTTTGCTACTCTACTAGCTGCTTTCTTCTTAATTGGCGTAATTTCGGCTAAATCATGCAATTTACCACCGAGTGAATGGTGTTCAACAACGGAGATTTCTGTAGCTTGTCAGGTAGGTAAATGATGAAAGATTCGCTTTAAACCTAATGAATGGAATTTTAGAGGTAGGCCTACTAACATATAGCAGCTCCATATCTCCTTGCTACCGCAAGGCCTAGGGAAGCTGATAGTCAAAAAGAGAGAATACTGTAGGCCTAGCACTATGTAGACCTAGTAGAGCCTCTCCTACCATAGTATATAGCTAGGCCTAACCTCGCTAGGCAAATCACTGTAACCCTCCTTGGTAGGGCCTGGCCGGGCCTGGAGTAATAAATTATGAGTTTACGTACTACTAAGAAAGGATGTTATATTGTATGGGTGGTATGCTTAAGCCTAGGCAATCATTCAATCAGTAGAAGGAATTCTTGGTTTTATATGACATACATAGGCCAACTAGGCCTAGCTAGAGTGGGGCTAGTTTTATGCCACCGTCTTTTTCATTTCACTACTGCTAGGACGTCTGTAGTCTAATTATATACTGTTGTTGAGCCCTAATACAAACCTTGACCTTCGTAACTGTGCCTTATCAAAAGCAAACCTATTTTGTGAGCGTGTTTGTTATAATTGTGATCAAAGGTCTGTAATTCATAATAAATTTTAAGAAGTTGACATAGACCATAGCTGAACTCAACAGGTACAGTAGGTTCAGCCTTTCAACAAACTTGCCTAGGCCCATTACTTGATTTAGGCCAAATAAAAAAATATACTTGTTAAGCGCCACTGCCCGCCCCTGATTTTCTAGCTGCCCCTCTTTTCTTCTCTTTTTTTTTTTTTTTTTTTTTTGATGAAAATTAACTAAAAAATGCCGAATTGATGGAAAAGGATCGTTTTATTCTGTTATTCATCTTGAGTGCAGGGAACAAGCTGTGAAGTGCGCCACCAATATCAACACATGTGTGGCATCGGTGCGTATATAAATGATCCTAAATGTGTTTCTCAATGTTTAAAAAATATGTACTGACTCTATTGTAGACTTTTTTTATGTACAAGCCAAAACGGTGACATAAACTGAAACCGAAGACCATGCAGAGATATAAATCATAAATAAAAAATAAAAATATTTAAAAAAAATGCCCCCCCCCCATATAATTTTTGAGGGGCGACGCTTAACAAGTATATTTTTTTATTTGGCCTTATTCTGAAGTTTGTGTCAATTATGTTTTATTTATATTAGTGCATTTATTTTTGCAGTAATTAAGTGATTCATTACATTGTATTTAAGTTGAACACACCACCCTTGAGTGCCCCCCGATCTAAAGGCGTATGTTTACAAAGTAAATAAATAAATATAGACCTTTAAAAACCTTAAAATGCATTAGGATTGTTATTGTCTATGCAAGCCTTAAAACTGTATTTGCCCTTCCAAAAAACAAAACAAAAAATCATTAATCCATTTTGAAACAAACATTTAATATATAATTTTACATTAAAAAAATGATAGAAACACTTCCAGTCACTGTAAGTGAATTCTTCTATATTATAATATTATTGTTTAAAAATCAGGGTACACATTTTGAACTTTTCTCATTCTCTATTCAATGCAAATTAAAATTTACAAGAAAGTAAATTTTACCTGCTGTTGAGGATCTTGAAATTAGTGCACTTAAAATAAATGTAAGCTTCACCAATTCAAAATCTCGAAAATTTTTATTTTAATGGAAAATTATTTTTTCTTACTACAAATGTGATCTGTGGTCTGTACAGTAAAACCTGGATTTTAGACCTGTGGCTATCATATCATCCAAAATGCATTGATTGAGGGATGACTGTTTTCTGAACTGTATAATTGGGCATAAGCCAATATTAAAACAAAAATGTGATTTCCAAATATTATACTGATAGGAGTATAATGATATCTGATAGGAGGAGAAGCAATGTATGGTGTTGGACACAGGATCAAAGACAGCTGAACCAACCATTTAGCAGTTAATATTATGCTCTGCACCAACTCATTTTTTTCTGGGCTGTTTTTTAATAAAATGTTTATTTCTCAATTGATATTACACTGTCAGGGGCGGATTTAGGTGGAGGCGTGGCCCCCCCCCCCTCCCCGGCCGTTTGGAAGGTAAAAGAAAAAAAAAAAAAAAGGAAAGAAATAGAAAAAAATTATCATCCTGAATGCCTCAGAGGCTTTTTTTGGGAGACTAGAACACAAAAACTTTGCGGGGACATGTCCCCAGACCCCCTAGGGTACTATTATCATGATTGGCCCCACTTTCGGTCTTCCCTTTTGGACATCTCTGGATCCACCCTTTTAATGCTCTTTTTAACTTTACAAGTGGCGAAGCATACATTGTTTTGTTGGGAATAACATTATCCTAGGCTGTAATAAGAATTTCAATGGTCAACTGATTCATATTGCTCTTTTTATAGGTAGAGAAACAGTGCAGATTGTGGTCCGGTATGGGATCAAAGGCAACAGCACCAGTGAACATCGCCCTCTACTACGAATCTCTGTGTCCAGGTTGTAAGGAGTTTATTACGACTCAGCTGCAACCAACTTGGATGAAGTTGGGCGATAGTGGAATACTTAACGTCACCCTTGTTCCTTATGGCAATGCCCATGTAAATATTAATAAAACATCCTTGATTAATGTAAAAATATTACTATTGAAATAGTTATTGCTTAATTACAGTTTTCCCTACAATTCAATGTCACATGGGACCTGAAAATATAAGGTCTCAGGATTTGATGAATTTCATCTTTATGTTAAGATTGAAGATTGTTAGGTGTACATTGAAAAAGTGATCTAAAATTTAGGAGGGGGGTCTCAAATTAATTTGGAAACTACAGTTATACAGAATGCAACCATGATATATTTGATGTCAATATATATTTCTTAGTTTGTAATGAATTTTTATGATTTTTTTTACATTTTTTAAATTTATTTATTACAAATTAGGCACAATACATTTAAAATATATCTTGACAAGGGGCGTGACTAGAGATGACGTGGGCTAAAGCCCAACACATCAAGTGGTCATCAGTTCTAAGTTCATTTTTAAATAGTTGTCATGCAATATCTATTTCCCAAGGTTTACTGCTGCAGTAAACATATCTGATTCATTACTGAATTATCTTTTTGTACCATTCTCTCAGGAACAACAAGAAGGAACTGGATGGATATTTGAATGCCAACATGGCGAGTGGGAATGTGCTGGGAACATCATGGAAACTTGCATCTTATCGCTGTTTAAATTCAAAACTGCTGCCCCCATTATCTTTTGTATGGAAGCAGCTGTAGACCCATATAGGACTGCCTATCAGGTAAATGATTAGTACAGGGATTTTTCGATGCACGACGTTAACCTTAACTTTTAACGTTGGTACCCAGCATGCAACGCGATAGCTCCGCCCCTTTTGTAAAAAAAATCGAAATATGCATGTGCAAACACGTAACTAACATCGAGCACGTAAAATCCTGAAATTAACATACTCGGCAATGCAAGGTGAATAAACTATGATGTCATCCGTTAGCGTTAAGGTTAACGTGTTGCATCGAAAACTGCCTAAATCCTCTGCCAAAGTAGTTTATGCATTCACTGTCTGTCTGTTAGCAAGTGAATGCATAAACTTAGGAAATGATCATAATATTTAGTGGAATATGTACATAATAATATAAGAGGTGATTAAATTTTGGGAAGAAAAAGTCAAAGAACAAGGTCTAGGTTACCCATATTCAGTTTTTATTTACACTTTACACAAGTGGAAATATGTACTTCATGAAGTGACTGCTTTAGTTGACCATGAGACTAGGTAATACATGACTTTTTCTGAATAATGATAGTTAACCCATGGAGCAAGCGTATTGTGGATGGTTGTGATTACTCTGTTTTACTGCGCTCTAGCATTGTCCAGAATTTTGATATTAACGTTTTTTTGAAAATTAATTTTTTTTTATATTCAATAATTTTATTTTAATAATTTTGATATTAACACATTTTTTTGGAATTTGTTTGATTTGTTTTTAAATTAATAATTTTTTTAAAGCACTTTAAATGATTGAAATGAAATTATAAGGGTATAACCTAAAAGCTCATTTGTGGCAAAGACAAGCCGAACCTTGTTGCAAAAAATTATTTTAGTTATTAATACAGAGTTAAACATTAAAATGAGAGCTATAACATGGTAAAGGAATAATTTAAATCCGACATTTCGTTATGAAGTTATAGGAGTTTAGACATACAGCTGTTTAAAGAACAATATTTGAGAAATCAGCCTTTAAAATTTATGATTTTGGGTATTTCTCCAGACAGAAACCATCACCAAATCGTTAAAATATTGTTGTTTTAACATTGAAAACGGTGAAAATAGCAGTATGGCATGATATAATAGATATATAGTGTAAAGGTTAGTTTAGTGCAATAAAATAGATTTCAAAAATGTTGACATCCCATGATGTTTTGGACTTTATATCTGAAACAGGATTTGCAACGAGTGACTGTTTGGCTTGTCTTCGCCACATTTTAAAATCAAGAATGTGGAAGTAGTTTGTCGCAGTAAGAATTGTTTGGTTTTTCAACCTCAAAGTAATGGTTTTAATCCTTCACTGTGCATTTTGATTAGTGTTCTTAAGCACGATACTTTATACTCTCTTCTGAGGAGTATTAATGAGTACCCTGTTGGGTTGCATGCACTGATTTCAGGGGCAACACTGAATTGATAAATCACATTCTATTAAATCACAATTAATTAAGTAAATTGTTTTAAAATTATTAACTCAATACACTTTGTATTTCCATTATACATTTTCCATCCCAGTGCATGCACTGATTTCAGGGGCAACACTGAATTGATAAATCACATTCTACTATTAAATCACAATTAATTAAGTAAATTGTTTTAAAATTATTAACTCAATACACTTTTTATTTCCATTATTTTCTTTCAGTGCCTCCAGCAACAGGGCGTTGACCCTAAACCTGCCTTACAGTGTGCTAATAGCAGCATGGGGAATGCACTTGAACACAAGATGGCATTATTGACCGAGTCATTGAATCCGCCTCATCAGTACACACCTTGGATTACCCTTAATGGAGTAAGTTTCATGAATGCACATCTTGTCTTTCTGAAGTGGGCCACTGGGGAGAGTTTATTTTTAGGAGAGGGGTCTACCTTTGTGCCATCCTGTACAGTAGATCAAGGGCCTTCAATTGCTCATGAGCCAATTTGGCATGCTAGCAATTTCAATCAGAGCAGAAGAACTGACTGGCTTTGCCCATGCAATTAGTTGGTGAATGAAGAAGGCATTGCCTGCTGGCAGAGTGCAGGCAAAAGTGCACTGCCGTTGATCGGTATAGGCACTTTATCCATCAGGTTACAACTCTAGTTATTGTTGTTAATTTTAAAGCCAATAACTACAATAGCCTACTTGCACCAAACACTGAAATTATAACATGAATCACTTCAAAGCCGACCAACAGCACAGACTGGTGTGTCTATGCTAATGGAGATATAGGATACCTCTACTTATGCTTGGCCAGATTAAAGTATTCAAACCCCCATAGCCTGCACCAAAGACTGAAATAAACATGAATCTCTTCAAAGCTAACCAACAGTACAGGCTGGTGTGTCTATGCCAATGGAGATATCTCCACTTTATGCTTGGACAGATTTGCAAACTCCCTTTTGTAAGTAACTGCCCCCTTCTTTTACAACTAACATGGAGTTCAATACTGAGGATCTTTTAATACTACCATCAAGCCCACTTTCAAGTCTTGTCCAGCGTGATTATCAAATTTTATTTGACAAAAACATGTGACAAGCCAAATATGATCATGATGACATCACATCATGACCAAACATAGGCACATCATGACTAAATATGGGCATACAACAGTTGATAATCTGGAGAGAGCTTAATTATTTTTTTTTCTTCCTTTATAGATGCACACAGAAGCCATTCAGCAAAAAGCCACAACAGACCTTGCAAAACTTGTGTGTGATACCTTCACTGGACAAAAGCCAGATGCTTGCAGTGATCTCTATAATATGGAACGCTGCTACAGAAACTCAAAATCCACATTTACATAAAAGTTTACATCGAAAGCAGTCAGGAGAAAACATATCAGGTCGCTTATAATAATTTTGTATGCACAACAATGACAACATCCAATATAGAGAACAAATTACAAATTTATAAGGTATAAAATTTCTACGTAGCAAGATTTATTTTCGAAATACCATTAAAAATATACTATTGTCATTAAAGTTGTACAATTTCTCTTAAAATATTTTAAATTATATTGTTTAAAAATGATATAAAATAGAAATCTATTGATTTACATAATGTTTCCATGATGTTATAATATTTTGATGTTTACTGAATCAGTACTAGTCTCTTAATTATCAAGCCTATTCTTTAACCTATGCAATTAGCTAATAAACACTTCGACTCAATTTTTTGTGCAATTATATTTTTAAATCTTTAAAATCAAAAATTGGTCAATCATTGTGAATCAGTTGTATACATTCCTTCACATTACCTCAATATAATTTTAGTAGTACTTCTTGAAATACTTTTTTGTTGTACATTTATTGTAGCATTTGTTTTGTGTTTATTATGAAGTGCAATGAAACTCCAGTATTTTGCAATATATATCATTATACCATTACCTCAATATGAATGTATCTTAGTGGTTAATAATTAATTAACTCATTTGCAATTGACTAAATATTTGAAGTATAACAAATATGACCTCTAATGTGAAATGCAGGGAAGCTTTTAAGCATTTGCAATATACATTATTTTCCATCATAACATACCTCATGTAGCTTGCTGGATAATTAATATACTTATTTGAAATTGACTAAATAAATGAAGTATGAAGAAATATGACCTTGTGCTATGAATGTTTTGGTGTCTGTGTAACATTTCCTACTAATTTTATTTTCAAAATACTTTTCTCACCTAAGAAAAGTCCCTTCGTCTGTGATCTGTGAAAATCCCTCACTATGCCCCTTTTATTTTAAATTCTTGGATCTGCAAATGGTATCCACCAACAGTACGTGGTCTCAATAGGTAAATATGTGAACATATTTACCTATTGAGACCAAGTACTGTTGTTACAATAGGTAAATAATTGAACATCCTAATATTCAAAAAAAAAAAAAAAAATTACACAAACTACTTATTGTAAAAACATCTGAAAAACATATACACCCATATATATATATATATAATAAAT